CGAAGTTAAAAACATGACAAAACATAAAAATTCCATTAAACTATCTAAACTAAATATATTATATTTGCAACTGATTCATCGGGTGGAAAACGAAGTTTCATAATTAATATTAAAAACACGGTAGTACCAAAAAACATCTTTAATACGGATGTTTTGGAATTTCTTTAAATTCCATCATCAGCGTTAATATCTAAAAAAAAAGTTAATAATATTCGAACTACAAAAAACAACATTAGCATTGAGTGTTTTTTTGGATTTGATCGGAAGTTTATAAATAACAGATTTAAACGGTTATATTTTAATGGAATGTATGATAAAACGTGCAGCATACACATGTTTAATAAATAACATTATTAAGAGAAACTTTTATAGGAAAAGGCTTAAATATATGTATAAACATTGTATTTTTAAAATAATAATAAATATCAAATAAAAACAATGAGAATCCGGATTTGATTATATTAATGACAACAGGGAACAATTGATGTCATTATTTAGTGTTGGGTGATCATTGAAAATGGAGAGGCTTTCTTTAATAAAAAGTTCGTAATCTGTGGTTCCAGAGTCGAGAATTTTAAAGTTTTCTTGAAGTATGTGGTGATTGTTATTCTCACTGTGCAATCGGATACAAGACTCAGGTGGATTACTTAGATTACATCTGCTTCTTGGTGAAATTCCCATGTGCTCGTGTGTACGTATTTGTAGGTGACGGGCAGTTTTACCAATACTAGCAGCTTTACAGCTGCCACAAGTGTATTTATATACGACTCACCAGCGTATAGGAATGGGTAGTGTGTCTTTGGTTTCAAACATATTTTTAATTCGAAATGTTGACATAAATACTAAACGTAGCTTAATTTGTGGGTAATATGTTTTGATTATTTTTTGAATTTGATATTTCAATGGCAAACAAAGATAAGAATGATAAGAACTAGTGGATATTTTGAGACAGTGTGTGACTTTTTAGTAGGTTTTATTTTTTTTATAAATCAAGTATCAATCACCATTTATATTTTTAAAATTTTATCCATTTGGACTAAATGAAAGAATTAAAACAGAAGGAATAAGACACTGTTAAGCTTAATGCAGGAATTACTTCCAATATATCAAGCACTAAACATATTCGTTCGCTTTATGTTACACTAAAAAGCCTTGTAGAGAAAAACCAAATTGAATATAAATACCACAGAGGTCGATAATAAATTTAAATTAGCTATAACTTATTACTTCTTAGCAAATATTTTCAAGTAAACACGAAATATCTAACAAAACTAAAGCTAAATTATACCTCGTTGTACCGTTTACTGACAAAGGCATAGATATAACTTGCACATCTATAATCTATTATTCGGGATAGGTCATTACAGTAATTACTTACCACCTGCAACCTGTAACATTAAATTTCCGGCAGTAAGTTACACTTTATAAACATAATTTTTATTATAACAGGGTTTTAGGTAATATTAACGATGAAGAGTTGAACTAACTTTTTTCTCAAACTGCGATTCTCTTCGTTTTACTTATATTTACACACTCACTCAATGTGTCACTACTGGAAATCATTACATTGTTCAAAACGAAGATCTAAGGTTTTTGACAAGTCAAAGGTCAAATTCTTTCCATACTGAGATGACACATAGGAACTCCGGTTTCAGTGGCATAAGAGAATGAAACTAGTGACACATACCTCCTGGATGGATGAACGGGATACCAGTCCATTGCAGGTTAACCCCAAGCTAACAACTGGTATCCCCCCAGCTCTCCATTTTTTGTGATGAGTAAGGATCATAGATTTCGCTAACATCGGAAAATTAATTTTAAATTCAGTAAAAAAGTTTTAATGTGATAGCTTAAACGTCCAATAATTATAGTAAAAAATTACTTTCACCATGGTTTGAGCAGGCAGAAGAAATAATCAACAATAGACTCTGTTTCGTTTTTTTTTAAGTTATTACTTCCATCAAAAAGATACTAAAGAATCGTCAAAATCTTTACACGAAAAAAGTGTCATAACACTAGCATAAAAGTAATTTAGTTATTATTTGTTAAAAACTCTATATTATTCACTGAGTAAGGAACTCGGTTACAATTTTCAAATATTGCAACCTTCAGGTAATTATGTTTATATTCATGTTAAAACTAATGTGAACAACACTAACAAAAACCGCAATAAAATTATAACATAATTTGCAGTTGACACAAATATTAACAATAATGTAATTCCCAAGTTATTCTAGATTCCTGAACTCCACAAGTTACCCTCTTAATACAAATTCATGGCTGGAGCCAAAAAAGCTAATACTATAGACTTCTCCATTTTAATAATCAAAGGTACAAGTGCATCAAAGAATATTTATAGAAATATTGTAGCATTATAAAAGAAATTACAATGTTTTAATCCATTCATAATTATCTAAAATTCCATGAAACGCAAACAAGAGCTAAAATCTTTCACAGATAAATCATTTTATCTTCACAACCTTTATTTTACACAAAATCAGCGAAAAACTTAAGTCTTCACTTAAAAGATCTTTCAAGAACGCAAGTAAATTAATGATTTGATATTAAATGCTTTTTTGACAACATTCCTCCTAAATAGTATCAATGTTTTACACTAAATGATTCTATAGAAGCCACATATTTGTTTTATTTTTTTACCTAACGATACATTTGTACGATTGGGCTCACACGACTTTAATCAGATACAGGACATACTAATGGGTGGAAACTTCAGCCCACAAGCAGCAGATTTATATATTTATAAATTAATACAACGTGCAGATACATGGACGATATAATGGTATCGCACCTATCAGATTTTCTTAACATAGTAAGCATCATTGGCGTCCGCAAACATTTTTCCAAGGAGGGGAAAAGTATTCCGGGAGGGGGAGTGGCAAAGAAGTGTGAAATTGTGAATTGAATAAAAAAAATCATATGCATATGCTGAATGAATAAAGAAATAATTATGTTTCTCATTTTCCAGGGGGGCAAGTGCCCCTCTTGCCCCCCCCCCCTCCTGCGGACGCCCATGCTAAGCATATCTACGTGACAGATCTAGCACTTGAAAAAAGTTTAGCAAATGCAAATAAAGAACACTACCTCGATTTAAATATTAGCGTTTATAATCAAACGCTTCCTTGAAGGTTTACGGTAAAACAGAAGATTTTGATTTTAAAGTTATAATTTTCTCATTTCCGACATTTACATTCCAAAGAAAACGTGCTATAACGTTTATCTATCACAACTAGTTAGATTTGCTAGAATTTTTTGTTGTAATCTGGATAAGTTTATATAAACACTTATATATAAACTTTTGTGTAAATATTTTTTTTTCAACAGATTTCACACGGCATTTTTTTTTTATTTTGTAGTAAACATAATTTATTTCTGAATAAAATGTGTAACATTGACAACTTCGTTATTTTCTTACAATCTTCAACAAAGACATTATGAAAAATGATTTTATAACTTAAGATAATACTTCCAGATTATGCTTACCCTTTTATTATTCTAGTCTTACATAATCTAACACAAACCTAAGCATTCCACCTTTCAAAGTTATCATTTTATTCAATATTAACATAACTTATTCTAAGTCAATAGTTTTCCAAGCTGGAGTAATTTACTCAGTATAAATTGCATAATTAACGCAGCCAATACAGAATATAAATGACTTTCTTCATCATAGACGCATATACTCCAACACAAGTACAAGCATTTACTCTTTCACACTTATACAATATTATTTAACTCCACCAAAAGTTATGATCACGTAATTAACATAGTCGCTATAGGATATAAAAAACTTTTTAACCTAACTTTATACTTGCCAACACAATTCTAAGCATTTATCAACCTTAGAGATTTAAAATTATATTTGTTATCTATGACTTTCTTCAAATTATAAAATCATTTTTTTGAAATTATCTTTCGCCTCCAAAAACTGGTTACCTGTGATTTGTTCTTGTCATAAGTCCCCTTGACCAGATGCATGAGGGGTTATACAGACACATGCTGTACTATTGTTCTGTGGACATTTAACCAGAACATCATATACCACATACTAAATGAGGATTAAGTTTATACGTGTTTATGTAGTTTATAGTAATTTAATGAAATCAATATACATTTTAGTTAAATATAGTATTAGCTATATATATATATATATCATCAATAGATAGATATGCATTATCAATTTTCTTAAATGGTAATAACTACATTATCTGTTATTTCTGATTTTCCTCAAATTCTTTGCTATGTACATTTATATGTGTTATGTGATTTATAATAATTTACACCATTAAATTTAATAAATTCATTATATATATATTTAATATATAATATTAATTTCTTAAATAATGACAACTATCTTTGCCAAATGGAATGAGCATGGTACATGAAGCTTTACATGTGGAAAATTCTGATTCTGTGCTTAGTAATTCTAAGAACTCTAAGAAGGCCCAACCAACTCAGTTTTTCTTGGGTTAACAGCGAGGAAACCCAACTGATGACGTAATGCAAGTGGTTATACAATTTTTAATTTGCTTGTTGTTATTGTTTTTTTGGGGGTCTGTTAGAGTAGAATTATAACAGCTCTTCTGCTAGTTTTTCTAAGTATTTTCTAAACGAACTGCAATATGGTATTTATTCTCAATATTTCTCATTTTTTTGTAAAAGATTAACTTAACTGAAGTACCCTTTTGATTATAACATGTTTGAAAAATATTTATTTAAGTTGTCAGACTTTGATTATTACAGTGTATCATTTTATTCAACATTAACATAACTTATTATGAGCCAATAGTTTGTACGTGCAGTCATAAATCGCATAACTAACGCAGTCAATACAGAATATAAATGACTTTCTTCATCATAAACGTATATAAATACACCAACACAAGTGCAAGCATTTACTCTTTAACACTAAAAATGGGTGTTTGTGTGTGTGTATGTATTTATGTGTATTTTTTAAGACTGTAAATACTAGGTGGCGTGTTTATTAAGGTTGTTGAACCAGACAGAACGTCATGGCGGACTCGCTTGAAAGTGAGAAAATAATGATTATTTAGTCATAAAGGGTGCATTAATGCTCATATGGCTGACTTATCTTTCCATTGCAATACATATTAAGGTTTTTCAAAGTGCATTAATGAATATTTCATAAAAATCAAATCTCGCTGTGAGTAAAATATGTGTTGCTGTGTGTGGGGTACATCGTACAGTATACAAATTGCAATTTATATTATAATAATTACAGTACTAAAAACTTAAGCAATAGTAGGTAATAATGTTAATAGTAATAATGCACAGTGATACAAAATGAATGTACATTCTTAGTCTCGGTAAGGATAACGGGTAGACTTTATATGTCATCTGCTATCTAGCCTAGGTTAGTTGCAAAACTTTGAACGTAAACAGTAAAATAATAAACACCGAGTGCGGAGTAGAGAAAAATAATGATTTTGAAATGGCTGCGGATTATTATTTTTTCAGAATGTAAGTTTTACTAATGTGTGCTGTATTGTGTTATTTTGCTACGTACATGCATAAAATTCTGTATTTAAGAAAGATAAACACTTGTCAAGTACTTGAAATATAGAGATAAATTGAAAATTAATAAATGAACAATAACATCTTATTAATATTAGTTAGCTTTGGAATGAATTGCTGCAATACAGTATGTCTTTATTCTTTTGACGTTTTAAGTTTGTTTTTTAACAGTTAATGTACATTTTTGCTCTCTGTATATACAATTTTATTACCTTAAAACTAAGTACTGGTGTCAGTGGCCATTGAGCTAATACATTTAATTTGAATAAAAATCACTATATACAATCAGTTTGTTATTTTAATTTTATGTGCTAACAAAGTTAAGCACCAATTGATGAAATATTATGGCACTTGTTTAATATGTTTTTTGTCAAATCTACTGTAATGGTAAATGCTGTCTTAAAGGACAAATGTTACTACAATTTAGTAGAATGTGAAGAATTATACTAAGACAGAAAAGTTTTTATATACTTTCTTAAGTTTATGCTCAGGAAATAAACACTGCTAAAAACTAAAATTTCTTTGAAAAATAAATTGCTGACTATCATACAAATAAGAGTATTACTTGGTTGCATCTGACACCTGGTGATAAAGAATGCCCCAATATTTAAGTGTTTTTACTACTGACAAAATATTTTAAAAAATTTGAAAGATCAGACAACCACTCTTATTCTTGCTGTCAAAACAATGCCATGTAACAATGGATATTAGTAAATCAGAGTAACTTTGAACTTTCTAAAGGATAAGTTAGTTTTGGGGAAAAAATATATGCAACTATAATTTTAAATTTCTATGTATATGAATAAAGTAATGTGTCAGCTGTTTTTTCAAAATTTTAATGCACAGATAATTTTCTATGTTTCCAGGTCAATCAACAGCAGCTCTGCTGAGTATGAAAGATGGTGAACATTGAATTCCCTTAGTATGGATAATGTAATATGAATCTGAAGATGTCCAAGTAATTACGATCCAGTTAGTCTTATTTTGGTTGTTAGTAAATTACTAGTCTATAATTAGAGATTTTAACAGAGCATTTAAACAGTTTCATATTATCATAGATAGTCAATGTGGATTTAGATGAGAAAGGTTAAGTCTCAATTTTGCTGAATTTCTATGAAGATAGTACATTCAATCTAGGTTTTGGATAATGCACTATATTTGTTGTGCTTGGTCTATCAGCAGGCTTTTGATAAGTGGCCCATAAGGTTTGGAATCTGTAAATCCAGAGAATATTTTAATAAGAAACTCTACAGACTGAGAGGATGTATTTTCAAAATATGGAAAAACTGAGACATGACTCCAGTTAACTCTTCCATTGCTATTTATGTAGATAAACAACTTTCCCAGTGCTAGTTTATTTTGAGATATACACAGAAATGTGGTAATGTATAGTTAATTATATAGTTTTCTGAAGAATTGGAATCTCCACAAGATTGGGAGGTTTATGCACAAAATAAAATGGACTCAGTAACAATTAAGTGCTTAAGAACTTGCATTTTTGTTGAATATATGATGCCAGACAAACAGTATACACTTAATAATTGGAAAAACATGTTGAAGTAAACAATGTGATACAAGTTAAATGACACCACTTTCAAAACAGCTTCTGAGGCACTGTCTGACTTTGTTGTAGAAAGTGGTTACTGTTACAGTGCCTTTTCCCAAAGCCAAGCCAGATATTTTGTATATCTCCTGTAAGGATATTCTAAGTATGAAGCCTAAAACAGCAACTAAATCTTTACCTTTAACAATGACTTATCATCTACTTCCTCATAGATAGCATAATCTACAAAACTTTAATGTTCTACTTGATGACCATATCACATCATATATTTTTGTAATATGCCACCAACCTGTTCCAAACATGAACAAAACCTCAAAGACATACTGTTTAACTCAGTTAGAAAACAAAAACACATTAACACAACTAAATGCAATAAACATTGCAATCAACCTGTCTGCATAACTTGTGACTTTCTTGATTCAAGAACATTGGTATAAAGACCTAAATCAATTTTTTACATACAGTGAGAATTCATGTGCTTCTCAACATGTGTCATTTACTGCATAGTCTGCTTCAGATGAAATAAACTATATATTGGCAAAACTTCACAAAGACTATCAGAAGGGGAAGAGATGAACATAAATTGATTTTTAAATTAGTTATAAAATAACCTATTGCAATGAACAAATATTTTCCTTTCTATAAATGTTTTTTTTGTCAGTTTGAACATTTTACTGTTTTTATTGTATTTATCTATTATATTGTTTAATTTGTATTACATTGTTTTACTTCCATATTGTTTCCCATTTTTAAATGCATATTGTTTGTATTGAGTTGTATGCATTCACAAGAAAGAGAAAATCTTAAACATATAACTGTCGTTTATTTTATTTTTGTATTAAGCCTGAAGAAGAGCAATTGTTCCAAATGTCACTATATAAAATAATTCTGAATCTATTTCAATATTACATGTTTTTACTGTGATTTTGTTTTGTTCTTAGTTATTTATATATCTTATTACTTACTTAATATCATGTGTCATACTTAAAACAAAAGTTATATAATGTGTTCCATATGCATTGGATGGAGTACTTTTAAATAATTGTTCTCTATTAATAAAATAAGTCATTAGGCTTATTCTGTTGTAGTATTTAATGCATAGTTGTGCATCAACCAAAAGAACAATAACTTTTCTTGTTCAATCATTGGGAAAATTTGTGTATATATTTCTATTTGAAGTTGTCTGTAGAGGAGTTTTTTGTTTTTTTTGTAGGGAGGTTTTCTTCAAATCGTAGTGACAGTCTCATAATGAATTAAATCTTTTATACTTGTAGAATAGTGTGCTTGATGGTATGGTTTTGGCTGTCAGTTCAAATTTTTTCAAGATATTGTTAGAGAAGCATATGGAGGTGAAGGGATACATTTAGTTTGGTGTTGATGTTTTGGTTGGTCGCTATTGATATTGAAGAGGTAACCTCAATCAGTTGAATGGCCTTGCATTGTTTCTTTGAACATAAATTGTGTTTACTTATTATACTCTATCTTGTGCTAGGGCAGACAAGGATTCCAGTAATGTGTTTGCATCATATTGTTGTGATAAAATAATGATAACTCTATTGAGAAAGTGGATTAATATTGTTTCCTCCACAATTTAAATCCTCTTTTGTGATTACTGTATGTATGACACAACTAGAAATATTTCTTTTAACCCAAGAAAACCCTCCTGAGAGGTTCTATTTAACCAGATAAAATCTTTTGAAGAGTTGGCTCTTAAAGTGTTGTACCACAAAATGTTTTTGTAAAAGTGCTAATTTTTCATTTAAAATGTTTAAATAAAACAGTAAAAGTTAGTTCTTAAATAATTATCTGATCTTCCCCCTCTCTGATAAGAATGTGGGTAATAGAATAAGTCTGGTACATCCAGCATAGATAATAATAAAAGCTTAGACAGTATTGCACAAGTTTACTTTCTATGTCATAGAAATTTCCAAAATTAATGTATACAAATTTTTCAGTAATTACATTTGAAATGCACTTTTGATAATTTTGATCACTGTATAAAAATCTAAGTCAGTACTAATTTTTGGAAAAGGAGTGAGATTAGTTCAACCACCATCATCACCAGGAAGAAGAGGAAATGTGAGTTTTTAGTTTTAAGTATAAATATATATCTTGTAACTTCAATATAGTTGTTTAATTTATCTCAAGGATCAATATTTCTATACAGGGTATCCCAAAGGTCAGTTACCCTAGACTGAATGTCTGTACATTACAGATTATGTTCAAAATGTTATTGATAAGAATTGATGCCATGCTGAAGATGCTAAATCCACACCAACTTCAGACATTCATCAATTCTCAGTGCCATCATCTAAAAAATCTGTAGAGAAACAAGAAAGGCAATATTAATTTCCTCAATGATAGATCGGCAACTAACTTTCTGGAAACCTTGTAGTTACAAAATATATACAGTAGGCCACAAGGCTGTGCACTTTAACGTTTGTAAATTGTGTATAGTTATAAAAGTATTGAAGAATATATATATTCATGGTGAAAATTATAACTGTTATATAGATTTCTATTAATATAAAATGTTTGTGGGTTCGACTTTCATTCAGTTGTACGTGAATCATGAAAGTGGATTCTATCATGTTGATAATTTTACCAATTGTTATTTTGAAGTTCCAATTTTGTGTCCTAGCTCTAGTCGTGGTTGTTAAAAGTTTGTAAATTTGTATTCCAAAATAATATACCTACCTCTCTGTACGCTGTAGCTATTCCTCATGAATCTGTTTTTGAGATTTTGTACATGCAATTATCCTTGAGCTATCTTACACCTAAAACATGTTATAACATAGACTGCACTAGTGCATGATATAATCATAGTGTGACAATAGTCCTCTGCCAGTAGGAGAGTAATAAATTTTCTTTCACATGGCCTTTTTTTTTTCATTTCTTGTCTCTTCCTCCTCCATATGCTCTGTGTTCCTTTTAGTCATCCTTCTAATCCTTAGTGACATCTGCATTTTAAGGCCACAGCATTAGATCTATTCAATATGAGAGCCATAGAGAAGATACTTCGCCTCTCTCCAAGGTTTTATTCTAGTCTTTTTGATGTCACACAAAAGACCAGAGACTGGCATTCCATCATCAACCTTTTCTCTCTCAACCACTCCTTGGTGTGTTTTCATTTCAAGATAAAGGGGATTATTTTTCCTGGACTATGGATGACCAAGTTTAACATCTCATATGTCTTTCTGCATATTCTGATTGCCCCATTTGCCCATTGTTTCCTTTGTTTTGATCATTGGGATCAGGTGTACCAATTTTGAGTTTCCTCATTGGCATTGCTTCTGCTTTTTATGTAATAGGAGCATTTGCTTGCCATGTTCACAGTGTCAGATTTAATTTCAATTAGTACATGGATAAGTGGCTTCTCCTCATCACTTCTCAGGAAGCCTCAATCTCAGCCACATCACTCCTTCTCCAAGAGGTGGCTCATTTGGGTTGGCTTGGCTGTCAAGTTGTTCCTGACTCTGACTCCATACTTGGTCCATTTTGGAGTCTTTTTCAATTCTTGACTCAGTTGAGCTCAGCCTTCTCCTATTCATCTGTGGGACATGGAATTTCTAGTCAATTTGAATCTTGCCTCACCTATACATCCTACACAAGAGGTTCTATCTCTTTTGGGGAATTTCATGTCTCTAGAACATCTTGTCCCCCTCAGCCAGGCTCCAATGAGTCTTCTTCAATGGACTTTGAGTGACAATTGGAAAATCTCTCACAATTCTCTCTTGTGATGTTGTTGCCTTCTCCTCTCGAAGATCTATGTTGGTGACTGGATTGTGGCAACACTGTGGTTGGTGTCCCAATACTGCCTTCCCATCTATATTTCCATTTCTTCACTGGTGCATCTCTTACAGGTTGAGGTGCATCTCTAGATGACTCCATGGCATAGGGGTTTTGATCTCTTGAGGAGCATACCTTCCACATTATTGTTCTGGAACTCTTGGCCATCCATAGATCATGTTCATATCTCCTACCTCATTTTGTGGATCACTTGGTTATGATTCACCTTGACAACTCTACGGTTTTCCATATTATTGATTAGAGTGGGACTGCTCCAGGGATCTATGCTTCCACATTTTGGACTTTCTGTTTTGGGCCCACTGATATCAGTTTTGTCTGACAACCTGTCATTATGGGGGCTTTGAAGTTAGTGGTGGATTGACTCTCTCGAATTTAAATGAGTCTTCTTATGGAGTGGTTACTCCATATGCAGATATTTTTTTTACTTTGTTCCCAGATGGGCGCTCCAATGATTGATGCTTTCCCACTACTCTCAATATCAAACTGGTCTCCAGTAACTCACCCAGCAGCTGTGGATGCCCTCAGCTAGAACTGGCCTCATCTCTTTCTCTGTATATATATTTACTCCTCTTCCATTTCTTCCACACATCTTGGTGTTGATTCACAACACACCTTGTTGAGTCCTTATGAAAGCACCTTTTTGGCTAGCTCAGTCTTCGTTTCCTCATCTTCAATGACTGGCATCCAGGGCATCTTTTCCCCTGCCTCCATCTTGGTCACTCTTGCTCCAACCTTCTATGTCTCTCTTTCACCAAGGAGTGCCATCCCTTCACCTCTACATGTGGGATTTATCCACATGTCCCTTGCTTTCCAGTCAGGTTTCTCTGACCATGTAGCCCATCTTTTATTGTGTTTGTGTTATATTTCTACTCTCTACTAATGAAAGTGGCATGTTTATTGTTACTGTTCCATCCTCTTCTCTCTACTATCAAGTTGTCCTGCTATTGCCCACCTTTTGTAGCAACATTGTTAACTGCCTGTTGCAGGCTCTCCTACACCTGCTGAGCCAGTGCTTGAAATGATAACCTTGTCTACTTGGCTGATTGCTCAACAGGCCAATACAAATGTTTCATTCCTCTATTTTAGGATGACATCCAAGTGGAGGCATCATTGGCATTAGCTGCAGCATAAAAACCACAGGAATAGCTCTGCTCATTCACTGTATACCAGTGTGGTAGCATCAAAGGAATGTGTAGGTTGTTGATTAACCCTCAGTCAGACTTGAATTTGGCATAACATAGGTGCCTGGGTAGGATAGTCTTTTAAAGGTATAGCTACTGCAGATACTGCTAGAGACTTCTTCTTCTCTTTTGACCAGTTTGAAGTTGCCCATTTGTACTACATTGCTACAGAAACTGCATCAGTAATGATGTAAAGATCTCACTCCTTACCATTTTGCTTGGTAGCCCTATTACTAACCTATCAGTGAGGATATGTTCATGAAGCCATTGCAGGATAAGCCTTACTGTGCACATGATGCAACTCATCCACTTAAGAAGCCAAACTCTCTGTGGTACTCCTTATTTGTTTGAGCCTTGAACTTGGCCTTCTTGGTTGCTTGATTTTCCACTGGGTCAGACCTTTGTCATAACTTGACAATGACTGTTTCACAATGCCAAAGTTTTGCTTCACTTAAGTGTTTGTTAAATTGTAGAGTCAGACCATCTAGACTCAAATAAACCCTGCTGTAGAGACTAGCTATTCCAAGCAATCACTTACAGGAACATTTAACCCTCTCACAATGAGTAGGTCAAAGTGTAATTGTCACGACCTTTCACAGAGTTACATTTTAAATGTAATTAAACTTTATTATCAATGTATATGAATAAACTTGGCATCCAAAAGTAGTTTTATAAATAAGACTTTAATGTTATGTAAGTTTTAATTTCTTAAATTCAAAAGGAAATATTTGGATAAATTCTCAATCTCCCTTTGTATGTGTATTGTAACATTAGTTTACTCCAAATTGCTCATCCTCTTATTTTTTTCATTACCCTATTCTGATATCTAATGTTTAATGTAAATTAATCACTATAGTATAAATATTACTAAGGCATACTCTAATTTTTATAGACTTTAATCTTATTCATTTAGGAAGATATAAACTAGAAAATCGGACCAATTTGCTATGTCCACCTATCACATCCTCTCTTTCATAAATTGCAAATAATTCTCTCTGACTTTTGCTATTACATCATTTATAAACACTAGAAAGACAAAGTTCTAATTTATCAAATAAGATATAATGCTACTTTGTTGTCAGTAGAAGTTTTTAGTTATTTTGCCTACAGATTGAAAGCTGCTATTACTCAATTCAGATCAAATAGATAAGGGAATTATTTTAAGACACTTATACTTAGTTAGAAAGCCAGTTATATTATGATAGTTATAGGACATTGATTGCTTTTGTGATCTTAAATGTATGCTTCAAATAAATAAAAATTACTTAATGTACTAGTACTATCATTAAAAACCAGTCGGCTTAAGTTTCACTGGCAGGCAGACAACAAGCATAAGTAATGAATTTCTTATTTTTAATCTATATTTTTATTTATTGTTACAAAAGTAACTAAAATGTAAAATTTATTAGTTTAGGTTTGGTAAGATAAGTAATAAAAGAACAATAATATAAATTCTTGACGTGATATGCAGAGATATTTGTGCGTTATGTCACAGTAATGTGAGTTATGCACTTGCGAGTGATTTACAATTTTATGATTGGATTATTAATTAGATACAGTTGAAAGGACAATAAATTGATAAAATTAAGTTGAAACAGGTGTAGACATTTACGAGTCTTAAGCTATTTAGAATAAGCAATTGTAGTTTCCTATTTAAACAATCTATAGTCATTCTAATCCTGTTAAGTTCACAAACCTTACAATTCCAAAATGCGAAATATAATATTCCTTAACTTAAAGTTAGAAAAAACAAAATGGAAAGAACTGCTTCCAATGAGAAATACTCATCAGAAAAGACCCAGACTGAAAAATGGTAAATCTGATAAGTGCAAAGTTTTGTTTTTTATCATTTAAATCTTGCACTGACTTGTAGAATTGTATTTCTAGATTTTTCTAATAAAGAACTCTCTTACTGGTTACCTCCATAACAACCATCCATTTGGCTATCATTGCAGCTACATTATTGGTCCACAAATTCAAAATGCTATGAAAGCATAATGCAAGTATATCAACTTACTGTAATTAATATTCATATATTTACTTTGCAGCAATCCAACTGAAGAAATATTTTTTGTCAGCATACCAATTGGTCACAGCCACTGAAAAGCTTGAATGAGACCTTATTTGCAGTTTGTTCATCAAAGAGCAGAGTCTTCATTTAATACTGGGGACACCATTTATATTTTCTATGTGCATTGAGGTGCCAAGAGTTTAACAATTTACACATGAAGTTTTTATGCAGTACATAGGGGGTCAGGATTCAACTATTATTTATAATTGCATTTTCCCATCTATTTTTAATATGCTGATAAAGTTTTTTTAAAAACGACAAAAGACCTGGAAGCTAAAATCATCCATTTTTTATTACACCACTATCTTCTTATTCCTTTTTTGTATTTTTTACAAATAAAAAGAAATTAATATCTTGAAACTTCAACTCTAATCTGATAAAAAAAAAACATTTTTTTCCAGTCTAGGTGTTTGACAGAGACATAAAATTAAGAATATTCAGATTACAGTTGAAACCATTTCTGGGCAAAGAAACTAGTTTCCTGTTATGTTAAAGGAGCTTATGATGATAAAGATGAGGCTTGTTGGCATTGCAAGACTATTAGGACATTATGAAATATTTATATGATACTGAAATCCAGTGTACCCATGTAATAAACAAAGAAAAAATAAGTTTTTAGAATTACTTAGTTTGTACCTTGTTACATATGCATAGTGATGAAATTAGTGGGAGCCAATGGGATAATGAGTGCCATCCTAAATACTTGTAAGCTTCTCCGAAACGTTCAACTAAATTTATAGCTCACAGGGTAATATGTGAGCTGTATATGAGAAAACCCTATCCCAAAAAAAACATAATCCAATATGTAATTAGTCTTATTAGAATTGACAGATTTTTTTTAAGCATAAATGAAGAAAAAAAAACAAAAATTAACTAAAGATTAATTTACAAAAAGATACAGTAAATTACCAACTAGTTTCAATATAACACGTGTAATTTTTGATGGTATACTGACATGCCAAGAATGTAATTTTCCAGGATATATTGTTTGAGAACCAAGACGTGTGAGTATTATTTGCGACTAAAATAAAGCTGTTAGTTCTGATATCAAAGAACTTCATAATGTGATTAATTTTTTGATTACTAACACAAAAATAAAAATTCATGAAAGCATTCTGCAGCAAAAATAATCCTGCTTTACAGATTCCTAACTTATCAGTTATCATCCGTAACTCTACCTCTTATTCTTTCAAAATAATAAATACTTTGCCCTCAAACCCATCTGCTTGTTACTTCTTTACCTCCCACTTTCAGAATTCTGGAGTTGCCATTTAATGTGGGAGTACGTTTGCTCACATTTCATTATAGTTTGTTTTAATCATTAAAATACCTGAACATATGTAATATTTCTCTTTTTCCCATATGATTCCAGCCAACTCCAGAAAGCCATTCTGGTGCCAATAAGAGAGCTGCTCAAAAAATTGGTGTTCAGCTTTGAAACCTTTTGAAACTACCAAAATCCCACAGATGGGTGTGGTTTTATTCAAATATTGACAAGTGAGTAACTAAAAAAAAACAATAAGTTATATCTTTGAAGTTTTTAAATGTTACAGTATAATATTATAAATACATTTTAAGTTAAAATTTTCTTGTCATTTGTTAATGATTCTTGCACATGGGTGGATGTTTAGATCCCTGAGAAGATAATCTGTACAAGCAGAACCACCTTCTCTGGGATCTAAATATTCACACATGTTTCATGTGCATGAAGGGAAAAAGAGGGCTGTGGTGTTTGAATGGTGCCTAAGTCGCATACCTAGGTCACTACGACATATCACTTTGACAGGTGTTGTGGACATTGTGTTTGGTACTTGTATTTGGGTATAGTGCTCATGAAACCCTGGCATTGCTGCACTGACTTCAATGTTTTGAGCTTTTGATATTGTAGCATGTCCACATGCAGGACTCCATGGTGAGTGAGGTAAGTGGGTACTGAATTATTTCTTTTCTTATAGATATTAATAAAAAAAAATGTAATAAAAAAAAATGTATACTACAAACTCTGCTTCACCCTTAGCATCACCTGTGTCTCACTATCTTACCTTTTCTCATTATGAGTCAAAACTGTGGGTCAGATGTCACTTTTCTTTTGTTTCCAAAAAGGTTTGGAAAGGCTTTGTGACTATCATTATAGCTAATTAGACATATCTTTTTTACATTTTTACTTATAAAGACAGCTATGTTAAAGCATACAAACTGGTTTCACCAGTTTTGAAACAGAGTTATGCTTCTGCTGAATATTCCACTACTTCTGTTGGAGTACAAGCAACTATATATTTGTCTGTTTGAGTTCTTATCTTTCCCCATGGACTATCCAGTAGAGAAATTTTCCATTATCTCTTTTTATTTTTCTACATGTAGCACTATAGAGTTATTGGGTCCAAACCAACCAGACCTAAAATGCAAGACATTTATATGGTCTTGCCCTTGATCTTTGGTATCTTGACTATCAAGCAAAGATGCAATGCCTATTTTATGAAGTTGGTCAACCTACTAAAGACAAACCAAAAAGGAAAAAACTAAAAGGAAAACTTCCAGAAGGCTGAAAGTGACCACACTGACACAACATGGAAACTCACAAGATTTTTGTTTTAATTAAAGTTTTGATCAATTCTTTCCGATCCTTTGTGTATCTTTACACAGAAAAGACAGGTTTTGTGACAGACAAGTTCATGTGGAGCAAGTAATCTTGTTAGTTTACTACTGTACTCCTAACTATGCCACTTACTACGCCTTTGGAGAATATTGCATTCTGTCTCTCCTTTAGTTGTACTGTCACACTCTGCTTATTGAGCATTTAATGTCTACCAAAAATCATCCTGGGACACTTAAATGGACACAATTCACTCTAGGGTGGTGGAGATATTGGTAGTAGAGGTCGATCTGTGGAGCACATGCTCTCATAAACAAACTCTCTCTTCAATACAGGAACCTTCACCTATTTCCATGGCCTGAATTCAACACTTACTGCCATCAATCTCTTTCTTCATCTTCTCTTCTCTTCTTCCTCAATTTGCTTGGGAGATGGACAGTTATCCACAAGGCAGTGATAATTTTCCATCATTCTGAGGAAGATTGGAAATTGACTCACATTCCATATTTTAAACTAGAAAAGGCCTACTGGCCATTTTTCACCACTTTATTAAATTTGGATCTTGCTAACATTAACTTATAATATATTAACAACTGCATAGAGTTGTTAACTGATAGTGTTGTCAGGCAGCTATAATTAAGTTTTTTAAAACCTTGATACTTTTTTCCACTGATCCTCATCCTTGGTGGACACCTATTCGCCAAAGCATTTCAGAAGGCTTTTACTAATTTTCTGCAGAACAGATGTCACAGCCAGAAGGATTCTGGATTAAAATCACTTCCAGCATCTCTGCAATCACCAGTTTCAAAGGTCTTTTTAAATGAGATTCAAAAGGTGAATATTCTCTGGTGAGTTAGCAGTAAGTTTATGGACTTACAACACTAAAATCTGGTATTTCATTCTTCATGGTGTATACAGCAGATAACCTATTATGGCTTGCTCAAAAAACAAATAAACAAACAATCAAAAAGGGAATGAGAAGTATTCATCCATTTTCAAGGCAAAAAAGTGAATGGTTTACGGGGTATTGGGAACACTATTGGAGAGTACTTTTCTAACCATTCTAGCACCTCCACCTTCTTCCCTGCCTTCTTGTCCATCAAAACATGGAATGCTGAACCTCACCTCCTTTACAGTCTGATTGTTTATATAAAACTATAATCAATAATTTACTTTGGTGGAACTTAAACTTGCTATCAGTTGTTTGGCAATAAATCATTCAGTCAGACCAGATAACATTTATAATAAGACTTTTACACTAACTTTGTCGTACTTCTTTTGATCTTCTGAGTTTTTTCAATCAGACTTGGCATGAGGAGGAGTTTCCAGGTTTATGCCATCAGGCTATTGTCATCCCTTTTCCTAAGCCTGGAAAAGATCCCTAGGTTTCTTCTAATTATAAAACTATTGCTTTGACTGACTGTCTTTGTAAAGTTCTAGAGAGGAATATTAATGGTTGTCTTGTTTGGTTTCTCAAAATTTTTGTTTCTTCCAATACTCAGTGTGGTTTCTGCAGGCAGCAATTTACCATGGATCACCTGATTTGACTAGAAATGTCAATCAGAGAAGCTTTTTCTCATGAAGGAGCATTTTGTTTCTATTGCTTTTGGTTGTGAGAAAGCTAACATTCCCACCTAGAGGTTTGGCTTATTACAGGACCTCCATTCATATGGGTTGTATGATTTTCCCCATTTTAATTCAAACTTTTTGCAGAGTGCTCATTCTGTGTTTATGTAGGATCAACACTACTCATCCTTCCCACAGGAGCTTATAGTGCCTAACTGCTGGGTATTAAATATCACACTTTTCAACATTAAAATCAGTACTATAACTAAACAACTTCCTCCTACAGTTACAAACAGCCTCTTCCATTTTTATGAGAGAGAATATGTGTCCTTTAAGTCTCCTGTCATCACTTAATCCAAACTGGACTACAAGTCTCTTGTCTGTGCCTCAGATAATGATTTTTCATTGAAGATGTTGAACTTTGTGTGTCATCAAAGGCTTCGACTCTGCACAAGTACCTTCCACACTTCTATGGTCTAGAGTGTGTATACAGAGTCCTATGAACCTTCACTCTAAGCTTTAGTAACTGCCACAGCATCTCATCTGGCAGGGTGTTTTCATGCCTCAGTGGCCTGTGCTCTTTGCAAATAGATGGTCTGCTCTTCTGCTTTTGCCCTTCTTTTCTAGGTAAAGTTAATGGAGTTTGGTCTGGCATTGGATGATGTTTTGTTGAATCTGGTGATCAGCCCATCCCACCATAACATGTTACTATCTATTGTTATTGTCTTTCATTGTGTAGTCTGAAGAAGTCAAATACTCCTTACTAGAACTACAACTTTTTTTTAAGGAACACATTTTAAGCCATCTTTCTGTTCCCATTTTTACAGATGACAATAAATCAGGTGACCATATGAGCTTTACTGTGGTTTGTTGCAGCTCTGTAATTGATCACTGGAACATTTCTGCAGATTCTTTGCTCACTTCTGCTCATTTGCTCTAGATTATATAGAAGCTAAGTGGTGTACTAAATGTACCGTCTTTACTGACTCATTAATCTCTTTGAAGGCCTTAGAATCACTTAATGTGCATTTTTATCCATTATCCTTAGATATTCATAAATAACTGGCTTTTTTCTCACCATCATCTATCATTATCCATTTTTATTGGATTCCTAGCCATGTTGGAATCCAAAGGAATGAGCTTGTTGACATCATGGTCCAATTGGCATACACTGGTGATATTATTGATTTGCCAATTCCTTGCATAGATGATCGTCTGTCATCAAATCACAACTTCATGACAATAGTTTGTCCAGTAATCAAAGGAAGGAAGTTGTCTTTCCAAGGCTCCATATTACCTATTTTCTTATACTGTGTTTTCTCTTATAAAGGAATAACCTAGGAATATTTGAGTGGTATGATGCTTAAGTTACATTTACTCACATTTTACTTTCATGCAGTCACTACAATACTGAACAACAGCACTATTTTAAACACATTTTTAACTTCTGGAATTCTATGGACATTGGACAGTGTCAATGGCAGTGATGACACTGCCTGTATTGCATGACCATGTTTTTAGTTATTTATGGGCTATAGGCTTTTTTAACTTAGTTATATTTGTTATCCTTTTATTTAAAAAGAACACATTTTACTTATGTTTTTGTTTTATATACTCTTCCATTTAACTTTACATTTTATGATAGTTATTTAAAAAGTAAAGTTATTTTATGCAGATAGCCCCAGTACTTTGTGCCATAAATTTCCAAACAACTAAACCAACTTCTTGTTTTTCATTCTGTAGTTTTCTGTTTTATATTTGATCTGTGTGATTACATTGTATTAGGGCAAGGGATTTAAAAAATCTTACATCAACTTAATAACAGCAGCTCATGATACTTGTACATGAGTATAGCAGTTACTAATATTTTGAATCTCTATAGTGCCATTGGAGTTCAGTTAGCAAAATTTATTTTGATAAAGGCTTTTATTAGAAGAATTAGTTAATTTAAATATCATTTTTAAATAATCAGTCTGGTTTATAAAAGTAATTAGGATTTTAGTACAACTAGAAATAACATTAGCATTTGATTTTATTATATACTTCAGTGGCATTTTTACAAATTGTATAGCTTTTCCTGTGTGAACTAATTTTGCTAGTGAGGTAACTAATTGTGATGTACACACATGTATATATACGTGTGTATGTGTAATTTCAGGCCACTTTTCTTTGGTGACAATGAATTTTCAGTGTGTGTGTTCGAGAATCTTTCCCTCAATTGAAGACCAGAAAACTGAGACGTGAAGAATGGGTCAAAATCAGAAGACTCATGGGAAAGCCTCGAAGGTATATTTTTTCAAAACAGTTGGTGTGGAATTCATATCACTTTATGCCTGGAACAACAAGATTTGTCTGAGGGATAACAAGTTTTACCATAATACTCTGCCCATTGGACAAGTAGTTTTTACTTTTTCACATCATTCATTTTATTGCTAGATAAACACTCCAGGTAAATTTTTAGGGAGCCACACAAGTTTCTTAAAATTCTGTACTGCAGAAATCTAGCACATACACAGAAACATTTAAAATTGTGTATCTATAAACCTCATACCAGAAGTCTTTACACCTCACTTTACTTCACAAGCCCAGTAACAAATATATTTGAATTAACCCTTCTAATACAGGTGGGTGGATTCCATCCAACCCGTATTTCTAAAAGTAACCATAAAGTAGTTATGCTGTAACTTTTTAAAATGTACACATTTCTTCACAAAATTTTGCAGGTTATCAGTAAAGATTACAAGGCATTCGTACACAAAGTATTAGAATTTTTAATTAATTATTTGCTTGTGCATTTTTTATTTTCGAAAAGACTATCCAACATGCGAAGCAATTTTAATTTTAAGATAAAAATACTTTTATGCATCAGAAAATTGTAAAATTTTCCATGCAAAACCTATAACCTCTTAATATCCTCCAGATAATTATCAAACTTTTCTTAGAAAAAAAAACTATATTTTATCTGTTATTTTCACTATAGTATCTCTTTATGGGTTTGGTCGATTCGACCAACCTTGTACCACCATAAAAAATAGGAAATAAGATCTTAAATAAATATCTTAAATCTCCTAACATTTTACATATAAAAAATTTATTATTTTTATTTTATTGACCTTTCATTAGTGTATGACTAACATTACTGAAGTTGAATAACGACGAGCATGTGCACTCATGTTACCGTATCCAATAATATAAAACTGGCCATTTCAAAGTAACCTGTCTTGGCTGTGTTCTAGTGGACCAGTATTTTATAAAGTACAATCACATTTCAATTATAATACATTATATATGTATATAGATTATTAATATTAACAAATAAGTTCTTAACTTTCAGTCATTTTTCTTAGAACATAGAACAGTAAATAAAGAAGTGTAGCAAACAATTATCTCTTCTACTTACGAACTTTGTACTCTTGTCATAATTTGCTAAGCCTTATGTAATTTTGCACATGGAGAAGGTAAAACAAAATATTATTTTAGGTTTTATATATGCATTTTGAAATAACAAAATATCATACATTACTTTATAAATACCAGGTAATTGCACTATAGTTTATCAGACTTACTATCTAAGCTGTATTTGGGTCTAAAAAGATATGGTTTATCGAGCTCAATAATGCCTTACCTTACCACTTGCAATCTACCATGAAAAGAAAGATTTTCCCACATAAATACTTTGCAAAGACTCAGAGAATCACGTGGGAGACACTCTGAGCTTTGGATTGGTAATTCACACATCATAGACAGAAGTAGGGGTATGTAAGCAAGTATTTCTAAAAATGGAAAGAGGTGAGTGGGGCACTATGTTTAATTCTCTAAATGTAGTGATATCTCAGCATATAGAAAAGGTGGGAGGTACTTATTTTTATTCTAGCTTGTCAATATCAGTACTTTGAGTTCCTAATTCGTAAGAAATGATAGACTTTGTAATTGGACATCATAAACATCTAATCTGAACCAATGCTGCATTCAACATACCATATGACACACAAAAATCGATATTTAGGTGGTTTTTTTTTAATATTTACTTTTAAATTAATAAATTAACTAATGTATAATATTAAAATTTGAACTGTAATCTACAATTTGATATCAAATTTATTGACAGACATTCATAAAATAGTAGTTCAATAAAATTTTGAATGTAAACCTACAAATGTGATGATATGGACTTTGACCCGTGACCATAGAAAGACCTGTCTCGGTAGGGTTAATGAACAATAATATTGCATAAAGTTTGACTGCAAACTATAGAAAGAATTAATAGCATAATAAAAATTACAAAAACTTTAAACTGTTTTATATTTACATATTAAACACCATTTTATTTCATGGTAACATTGATGTAAACCTTCATTTCTTTATCAGTTTGTACATGTTATATTCTACATGCTGTGTTGTAAAATCCTAATGAGTAAATATTAAAAACCATAAAATATGTGAATCAATTTACATATGAAGAGCTTAGATTCAAAATGCAGTATATGCAATTCCCTCCCCCCCCCAAAAAAAAGAAAAATAACTGCTAATAAACATGCAGAATTTTGCTTACAAAAGCCTGTAGATATGAAGATCTTTGTCTAAATATATGTTGTGTAAATAATTTATGAGGGCAAGTAGAACAAGAAGTCTTTTTTTAATTCCACACCACTGCAAAATAATTTTGTTTTTGTCTTAGAAACTTCTTTCTTTCTTTGTTGGGAGCAAAGTTTGTCTCAGCTTAAGTGTTAGTTGTTCAGATAGAACTTGACTTTTTTGAAAGAACATGCTTGATCATCTTTATATATTATTCATACAGTAAAATTATTCTAATAACATAGCACTTTCTTTGTTGAATAAATTTCTTTATCATTAATTATCATTTGTCAAAAATGATTAATTACACTTGCAAATAGCATTTAACCACAACTTATATATAAGATTGTTGAATGTTTATGAAATTTTAGAAAAGTATTAAACATTTTCTAGCTTATTATAATCAAATTGGTGCATAAAAACCATAGTGTAAAGAATTTTAGTATAGTAATGATCTCTTTGATTTTATGGGTACTTTTATTCTCATTTAAAGTTAATTACTTTTGTTTTAGTGTGTATTACTGTTCCTTATTGTTTCCTACTTTTTATGAGATTTGGGATAATTAATAAAGAAATGGAAATTTATTGACCTATAGGATCTATATATATATAAAATAAGAGTTTTGTCTGTACATTGCTTAGAATAGTGTACTTTTTGCATATCTTCACGTTTCATACACCAGAGAAGCCGAAACAAGCCTTATCTCAATTTCTGTGTGTCTGTCGGTAACGCTCGCGGACGTGTTTTTGTTCGCTTTTCATGGGAAAACGAATGCACCGTTTTCGATGAAACTTTTTTTCTTTGTTTTATAGATGTGTAAGAAGGTTATAGGCTACTTGAAACTGTCATACGCCTTTTGGAAAGAAAATGGCGGCCGCTCAAAAACCTGCTTAGGTGTGGTTTTGGACGTGATTTTGTTCACTTTTCACAGAGAAACGGGAGCACTGATTTCGATGAAACTTTTTTTCTTTGTTTTATAGATGTGTAAGAAGGTTATAGGCTACTTGAAACTGTCATACGCCTTTTGGAAAGAAAATGGCGGCCGCTCAAAAACCTGCTTAGGTGTGGTTTTGGACGTGA